TATTTAGTGAAGGGATTCAGATAGTAGGTTGGTAGACAGCAACCACCCAGGGAAGTACTACCGTCCTGCCAGATGACTGTGAAACAAAAACCTGTAACTGTTTTGCATGATGGTAGGATTGCTGGTTTCTTTTTCTGTCTCATAAACACGCTAAGATAACAGGGATATCTTGCTACTCCTACTTACACTTTGGTCACACTTCACAGACACGCACATGCATATATATATATACATACATCTAGGTTTTTCTCCTTTTTCTAAATAGCTCTTGTTCTTTTTTATTTCTTCTATTGTCCATGGGGAAGTGGAAAAGAATCTTTCCTCCGTAAGCCATGCGTGTCGTATGAGGCGACTAAAATGCCGGGAGCAATGGGCTAGTAACCCCTTCTCCTGTTACAATTACTAAAAAAGAGAAGAAGAAAAACTTTATAAAACTGGGTTGCTTAAATGTGCGTGGATGTAGTGCGGATGACAAGAAACAGATGATTGCTGATGTTATGAATGAAAAGAAGTTGGATGTCCTGGCCCTAATGCGAAACAAAGCTGAAGGGGGTAGGAGAGTTTCAGTGGGGGGAAATAAATGGGATTAAATCTGGAGTATCTGAGAGAGTTAGAGCAAAGGAAGGGGTAGCAGTAATGTTAAATGATCAGTATGGAAGGAGAAAAGAGAATATGAATGTGTAAATTCAAGAATTATGTGGATTAAAGTAAAGGTTGGATGCGAGAAGTGGGTCATAATAAGCGTGTATGCACTGGAGAAGAGAGGAATGCAGAGGAGAGAGAGATATTTTGGGAGATGTTAAGTGAATGTATAGGAGCCTTTGAACCAAGTGAGAGAGTAATTGTGGTAGGGGACTTGAATGCTAAAGTAGGAGAAACTTTTAGAGAGGGTGTGGTAGGTAAGTTTGGGGTGCCAGGTGTAAATGATAATGGGAGCCCTTTGATTGAACTTTGTATAGAAAGGGGTTTAGTTATAGGTAATACATATTTTAAGAAAAGAGGATAAATAAGTATACCGATATGATGTAGGGCGAAATGACAGTAGTTTGTTGGATTATGTATTGGTAGATAAAAGACTGTTGAGTAGACTTCAGGATGTACATGTTTATAGAGGGGCCACAGATATATCAGATCACTTCTAGTTGTAGCTACACTGAGAGTAAAAGGTAGATGGGATACAAGGAGAATAGAAGCATCAGGAAGAGAGAGGTGAAGGTTTATAAACTAAAAGAGGAGGCAGTTAGGGTAAGATATAAACAGCTATTGGAGGATAGATGGGCTAATGAGAGCATAGGCAATGGGGTCGAAGAGGTATGGGGTAGGTTTAAAAATGTAGTGTTAGAGTGTTCAGCAGAAGTTTGTGGTTACAGGAAAGTGGGTGCAGGAGGGAAGAGGAGCGATTGGTGGAATGATGATGTAAAGAGAGTAGTAAGGGAGAAAAAGTTAGCATATGAGAAGTTTTTACAAAGTAGAAAGTGATGCAAGGAGGGAAGAGTATATGGAGAAAAAGAGAGAAGTTAAGAGAGTGGTGAAGCAATGTAAAAAGAGAGCAAATGAGAGAGTGGGTGAGATGTTATCAACAAATTTTGTTGAAATAAGAAAAAGTTTTGGAGTGAGATTAACAAGTTAAGAAAGCCTAGAGAACAAATGGATTTGTCAGTTAAAAATAGGAGAGGAGAGTTATTAAATGGAGAGTTAGAGGTATTGGGAAGATGGAAGGAATATTTTGAGGAATTGTTAAATGTTGATGAAGATAGGGAAGCTGTGATTTCGTGTATAGGGCAAGGAGGAATAACATCTTGTAGGAGTGAGGAAGAGCCAGTTGTGAGTGTGGGGGAAGTTCGTGAGGCAGTAGGTAAAATGAAAGGGGGTAAGGCAGCCGGGATTGATGGGATAAAGATAGAAATGTTAAAAGCAGGTGGGGATATAGTTTTGGAGTGGTTGGTGCAATTATTTAATAAATGTATGGAAGAGGGTAAGGTACCTAGGGATTGGCAGAGAGCATGCATAGTTAGTTCCTTTGTATAAAGGCAAAGGGGATAAAAGAGAGTGCAAAAATTATAGGGGGATAAGTCTGTTGAGTGTACCTGGTAAAGTGTATGGTTAGAGTTATAATTGAAAGAATTAAGAGTAAGACGGAGAATAGGATAGCAGATGAACAAGGAGGCTTTAGGAAAGGTAGGGGGTGTGTGGACCAGGTGTTTACAGTGAAACATATAAGTGAACAGTATTTAGATAAGGCTAAAGAGGTCTTTGTGGCATTTATGGATTTGGAAAAGGCGTATTGACAGGGTGGATAGGGGGGCAATGTGGCAGATGTTGCAAGTGTATGGTGTAGGAGGTAGGTTACTGAAAGCAGTGAAGAGTTTTTACGAGGATAGTGAGGCTCAAGTTAGAGTATGTAGGAAAGAAGGAAATTTTTTCCCAGTAAAAGTAGGCCTTAGACAAGGATGTGTGATGTCACCGTGGTTGTTTAATATATTTATAGATGGGGTTGTAAGAGAAGTAATGCGAGGGTCTTGGCAAGAGGCGTGGAGTTAAAAGATAAAGAATCACACACAAAGTGGGAGTTGTCACAGCTGCTCTTTGCTGATGACACTGTGCTCTTGGGAGATTCTGAAGAGAAGTTGCAGAGATTGGTGGATGAATTTGGTGGGTGTGCAAAAGAAGAAAATTAAAGGTGAATACAGAAAGAGTAAGGTTATGAGGATAACAAAAAGATTAGGTGATGAAAGATTGAATATCAGATTGGAGGAGAGAGTATGGAGGAGGTGAACGTATTCAGATATTTGGGAGTGGACGTGTCAGCGGATGGGTCTATGAAGATGAGGTGAATCATAGAATTGATGAGGGAAAAAGAGTGAGTGGTGCACTTAGGAGTCTGTGGAGACAAAGAACTTTGTCCTTGGAGGCAAAGAGGGGAATGTATGAGAGTATAGTTTTACCAACGCTCTTATATGGGTGTGAAGCGTGGGTGATGAATGTTGCAGCGAGGAGAAGGCTGGAGGCAGTGGAGATGTCATGTCTGAGGGCAATGTGTGGTGTGAATATAATGCAGAGAATTCGTGTAGTTTGGAAGTTTAGGAGGAGGTGCGGGATTACCAAAACTGTTGTCCAGAGGGCTGAGGAAGGGTTGTTGAGGTGGTTCGGACATGTAGAGAGAATGGAGCGAAACAGAATGACTTCAAGAGTGTATCAGTCTGTAGTGGAAGGAAGGCGGGGTAGGGGTCGGCCTAGGAAGGGGTTGGAGGGAGGGGGTAAAGGGAGTTTTGTGTGCGAGGGCTTGGACTTCCAGCAGGCATGCGTGAGCGTGTTTGATAGGAGTGAATGGAGACAAATGGTTTTTAATACTTGACGTGCTGTTGGAGTGTGAGCAAAGTAACATTTATGAAGGGATTCAGGAAAACCGGCCGGCCGGACTTGAGTCCTGGAGATGGGAAGTACAGTGCCTGCACTCTGAAGGAGGGGTGTTAATGTTGCAGTTTAAAAACTGTAGTGTAAAGCACCCTTCTGGCAAGACAGTGATGGAGTGAATGATGGTGAAAGTTTTTCTTTTTCAGGCCACCCTGCCTTGGTGGGAATCGGCCGGTGTGATAATAAAAAAAAAAAATAATAAATAATTCAGGGAAACCGGTTATTTTTATATAGCCGGACTTGAGTACTGGAAATAGGAAATACAATGCCTGCACTTTAAAGGAGGGGTTTGGGATACTGGCAGTTTGGAGGGATATGTTGTATATCTTTATAAGTATATGCTTCTAAACTGTTGTGTTCTGGGCACCTCTGCGAAAACAGTGATTGTGTGTGAGTGAGGTGAAAGTGTTAAATGATGATAAAAGTATTTTCTTTTTGGATTTTCTTTCTTTTGAGTCACTCTGCCTCGGTGGGAGACGGTCGACTTGTTAAAAAAAAAAAAAAAGTAATGTGTGTAGTATTATATACATTTTATAGGCCTGGCTATATTGCTCACTTAATTTATGAGAGTGTAAACATGTTATCAGGCTTTTATATGCACTTGAAAGTGAAAAAAGGGTATAATTTAGTTTACAGCTATTTTGCTTTACAACAGTAGCCTGGAATGTCACCTACTGTATAAGCGAGGCCTTCCTGCACCATTTTGATGTACAAGGAGGGCCCTGCTTATACAGCAGGCTTAGGTTCCATGCTACCACTGGCAAAGCAAAATTCACTATAAAGTGAATCTGCTTTTTTTTTTTTACTTTCAAATGCATATAAAAGCCTGATAACATGCTTACACTATATTAAGTGAGCAATATAGCTAGGCCTAAAAAATGTATATACAGTATACACAGTACCTGGAGTTTACCTGGAGAGGGTTTCAGGGGTCAATACCCCTGCGACCCAATCTGAGACCAGGCCTCATGGTGGATCAGGGTCTGATCTACCAGGCTGTTACTGCTGGCCGCACACAAGCTGATGTACAAACCACAGCCCGGTTGGTCAGGTACTGACTTTAGGTGCCTGTCCAGTGCCTTCTTGAAGACAGCCAGGGGTCTATTGGTAATCCCCCTTATGTATGCTGAGAGGCAATTGAACAGTCTTGGGCCCCGGATACTTAAAATATTTTTGTCCTTAGTTTATAGTAAGTGGTGAATATAGTTATTGTAGAAAATCTGAATACATAAAGAATTGGTATCTAATTGAAAACCCCTGTACTAGTGAAATGCTGTAAAATAAAGCACTGCAAAGTGGGGCCTGCCTGTACATGCATGTACCATGTGTTCAACTCACATTGCTTATTAGCTTTCAAATTACTGTATAAATTTGTATAACAATTTTAAATAAGATTCTAATCATTATTATTATTATCTTTATACAGCAGTGATGAACATATACAATTATATTTAACAATGTTGCCACCCTTACTGAAAAATGCTGACCCAGAATTGAGTCTAAATATGAATATTTTCTAGGATTACAATGATTATACTGTACTAAGTTTAACCTACATTAAAGCAAATTTTTTCACAAAGACTCACCCAGGAAGGCATAATTGCCAGGGTGCAGCTCTGTCAGACTCTTCATTCTATCAGTTGGCTTTCTGCACGTAGGAGTGGAGCCAATACCCACTGTAGAGCATGTAACCCCTCGCTGCCTTACATGATTCACAAATGTCATCAAACGCTCTGGGTGTTTTTTAAATAAAGTTACTTTCATTTTCCCCACATTTAATACAGAATTGACTTTAAACATTATGATTAGTCTGCCCAAAATACATTGTAAACTAGTGGCTTTCATTTGTGCATAACAATATTTTATTACATGTAATATGCATTATTGGTGTACTGCATAAAAGAAATAAAAATATGAATTTGAATTTTATCAAAAAAAAAAAAAGTATTGAATAACTTTTTGTTTAGTAACAAAGAATATTTTTCATAATTTTTATGGTCTCTTTGAGCCCTACTCACCTATAGTATCATCCAGGACTTGAATGACTTCCTCAGAGCTGCTGGTGTGGTAGGAGTTGCCACAGTGAACATACACTCCAGCAAAGTCAATATTAGGGGAATTTTGGAGTAGCACAGCCAAGTCCACACCAGCTTCATCTTTCCACCAAACTCCAGCTAAAATGGCAACAATATTACTTATGGTAGTAATCTATAAATTAATAATTAAAACTTCTTCCTCTCTGACCTACTGAAGAAGACACAACATTACTCTTCATTTTCATTCCTGATAATTAACCCTTAAACTGTCCAAACATAGATCTACGTTTGCATGCACAGCACTCCAAACGTAGATCAACGTTTTATTTTTCATTCCTTCAAATTTGACATAATAGACTTGAGTCGCCTAGACATGAAAGAATGGGTCTGTGCACTTAGTGTGCGCAGTATTAAAAAAATCTGGGAGCACTTAGTACCTTGTGGAAGCACCAGTTCAATTAAGTGCCAGTTAGAGCAAATAGTGTGGCAAACACCAGGGATTCACTGATACCATGTTGCATTAACACTCCCATTTTAAGAGGAAAGTAAAAATAGGTTAGATAAATACATGAATGAGTGTGGGTGGGTGTGAGTTGGACCTGACTAGCTTGTGCTACTAGGCATGATGTCATGCTCCTTCCTTCAATGGATGTGTCCTGACTAGGTGGGTCATTGGTCTTAGCTGGGGTGGGGAGGGTGACATGGACCTGCCTTGCATGGACCAGTAGGCCTGCTGCAGTGTTCCTTCTTATGTTCTTATGTATTCGGCAGGCTGGCTGGATGGCTGGCTGTCTTGCTTTGGCTGTCTCTCTGTCTATATCTCTGTCTATCTATATCTGTCTATATCTCTATCTATATCTGTCTATCTATACCTCTATCTATATATGGAGGGTTAGCTGGAGCAGTGGGCATTTATCAAATGTTACTGGGCTGTCAACAGTATAGGGATGCTTTTCATAACAACATGCTTCAAGGTATACACCAGGGTATCTAAAACATTGCTGGGACCTATAAATACTTTGTACAGTGGACCCCAGGTTTGCGATATTAATCTGTTCCTGAGAGCTCATCGTAAACATAAAACTATCGCAAACCGAATCAATTTTCCCCATAAGAAATAATGGAAATCAAATTAATCCGTGTAAGACACCCAAAAGTACGAAAAAAAAACATTTTTATCACATGAAATATTAATTTTAATACACACAAACTGATACTTACCTTTAGTGAAGATCTGGTGATGATTGATGGGATGGGAGGAGGGGAGAGTGTTGCTGGTGTTAGTGTTTAGAAGGGGAATCCCCTTCCATTAGGACTTGAGGTGTCAAGTCCTTTTCCAGGGTTACTTTCCTTCTTTTAATGCCACTAGGACCAGCTTGAGAGTCACTGGACTTCTGTCGCACAACATATCTGTCCATAGAGGCCTGTACCTCTCGTTCCTTTATGACTTTGCTAAAGTGGTTCACAATATTGTCATTGTACAGGTTGCCAACACAGCTTGCAGTAGCTGTGTCAGGGTGATTTTCATCAAAAAAGGTTTGCACGTCAAGCCACTTTTAACACATTTCCTTAATCTTTGAAGTAGGCAACTTCCTCAGTTTCTCTATACCCTCCTCCAAAGCAGTTTCCTCAGGTCTGGCCTCTTGCTGTTGAAGATGATCTAGCAGCTCATCAGTGGTTAGTTCATCATTGTCCTCCTCCACCAACTCTTCCACATCCTCCCCACTAACCTCCAACCCCAAGGACTTCCACAATGGATTCCTCAACCAGCATACACTTCTCAGGGTTAGCCTCAAATCCTTCAAAATCCCTTTTGTCTACACATTCTGGCCACAGTTTTTTCCAAGCAAAGTTCAAGGTCCTCTTAGTCACTTCCTCCCAAGCCTTACCTATAATGTTTACACAATTGAGGATATTAAAGTGATCCTTCCAAAACTCTTTTAGAGTCAATCGAGTGTCTGTGGTCACTTCAAAGCACTTTTGAAACATAGCTTTTGTGTACAGTTTCTAGAAGTTGGAAATGACCTGCCGGTCCATGGGTTGCAGGAGAGGAGCGGTATTAGGAGGCAAAAACTTGACCTTAATGAAGCTCATGTCCATAGAAAGTCACTCTGCCACGTCTGAAGGATGACCAGGAGCATTGTCTAATACCAGGAGGCACTTAAGGTCTAATTTCTTTTCAATTATGTAATTTTTCACACTGGGGGCAAATGCATGGTGTAATCAGTCATAGAAAAAGTCCCTAGTGACCCATGCCTTACTGTTTGCCCTCCACAGCGCACACAAATTAGCCATGAGGACATTCTTTTACCTGAACACTCTGGGAGTTTCTGAGTGATACACCAATAAAGGCTTCACTTTGCAATCACCACTAGCTCTAGCACAGAATAAAAGAGTAAGCCTATCTTTCATAGGCTTTTGTCCTGGGAGTGCCTTTTCCTTCTGAGTAATGTAGGTCCTGCTTGGCAATTTCTTCCAAAACAGGCCTGTTTCATAGCAATTAACCCTTTGACTGTCGCGGCTGTATATATACGCCTTCCGAGGTACCGTGTTTGACGTATATACTCATAAATTCTAGCACCTTCAAATCAAGCAGGAGAAAGCTGGTAGGCCCACATGTGAGAGAATGGGTCTGTGTGGTCAGTGTGCACCATATAAAAAAAATCCTGGAGCATGCAGTGCATGAGAAAAAAAACCTCCGACCATTTTTTTAATTAAAATGCCGACTTTGTGGTATATTTTCGTATAGTATTTATGGTTGTATTCTCGTTTTTTTGGTCTCATTTGATAGAATGGAATACATACTATAGAAATAGAGGTGATTTTGATTGATTTTACTATAAAAAGAGCCTGGAATGGAGCTCAAAGTAGGGGAAATGTTTGATTTTTGCCAATGTTCAAAAGTAAACAAATGATGTCATTGTCCAATAAATGTCCAACTAGCCATTCTAATATGCAGTCATGAATGGGTTGATGTTATTTATACAATTATTACAGTATTGCAGAACTCTGCATAATAGTAAGTCTTCTATTTTTTGTTTGAATAAAAATTCAAAATAGAAAGCAAGAGTAATATCAGAGGGGCCTGGAGACATGACTGATGAACAAAGAAAATGTTATTTTAGAGCCAGGAATGTCTGCATTGTTCATTCTGGACCTTATTTTGAAATTGTCATATTTTTTAATTTTCGTGAAATTGGCCAAATTGCAAATTTCTGACCACATTATTGGTTAGTTGAAATCAGTAAATGGGCAGTATCTTGTACTCAATCGATAGAAAAAATCGAGTTCTAAAGAAACAGCAATGAGTTTGGTCGACTGGAACAACGGAATTAGCCGAAAATAGGGCTCAAAGTGGGCGAAATCGCCGATTTGTAAATATCGCCGAGGTCGCTAACCTCGTCAGTTTTCCATCAAATTTAGTTTTTTTGGTGTCATTACAATCGGGAAAAGATTCTCTATCATTTCATAAGAAAAAATAATTTTTTAAAATTTTGCGACACCAGGAGACACCTCAGGATTGGGGGTTGCGACAGTCAAGGGGTTAAACACTTGTTCAGGTTTCAAGTCTTCACTGTCTATGTAATCCTTGAATTCCTTCACATATGTTTCAGCTGCTTTATGGTCCGAACTGGCAGCCTCACCGTGTCTAATCACACTATGTATGCCACTACGAGTCTTAAATCTTTCAAACCAACCTTTGCTGGCCTTAAATTCACTCACATCACCACTAGTTGCTGGCATTTTTCTAATTAAATCGTCATGCAACTTCCTAGCCTTTTCACATAAGATCGCTTGAGAGATGCTATCTCCTGCTATCAGTTTTTCATTTATCCACACCAATAACAGCCTCTCAACATCTTCTAACACTTGTGGTCGCTGTTTCATAATCACAGTTGCACCTTTTGCAAGAACAGCTTCCTTGATTGCCGTTTTCCTGGCCACTATAGTAGCGATGGTTGACTGGGGTTTCATATACAACCTGGCCAGCTCTGACATATGCACTCCACTCTCGTACTTTTCAATTATGCAAAATAAGTCACCATGGGCCCCAAGAAGACTTCTAGTGCCAACCCTTCGAGAAAAAGGGTGCTAATAACTATTGAAATGAAGTTCAATAGTTATTAGCACCCTTTTTCTCGAAGGGTTGGCACTAGAAGCCTTCTTGGGGCCCATGGTGACTTATTTTGCATAAATAAGCACCAAAAACACTGATAATATGGAATGTACCAAATGTATGCTTAGATGCTAGCACACTGGCTGGCTCGCTTGTAAACACTGGCACGCACAGGGCAGTTCAGACCACATGTGGATGCGTCCCGGATGAATCGCGTATACCGGGTTTTTTAACGTGAAACGAGGCAAAATTTTTGCGTTAAAATGTATCGTATACAGGATTTAGCGTATACGTACTGATGCCTTCGTAAACCAGGGGTCCACTGTATATATTTCTAGACAATAGTAAATAACCCAAGCAGGTGTAAATGTTCACCTGTCAATGTGACTGTGACTATTTGAGCACTATTTCAGTACCTAATATTGGTGTCAGAACAAAGATTGGCTATGAAATCACAAGAACTATTATAAATTGTAATTATCAGAACAGGACACAAGTGCCCTTTTACTTTACATACTGTCGGTAATTCTACCAAAATATATACAATAATCAGAATATAAAAGTATATATAAATTAAAATAAAAACGAGAAAAAAGGCATATTGGCAACACTTCCGCAAGCGGCAGGAGTCGATGTTGCCGTCAGGTAAGTACCGACTCAAAAAAAAAAATGTTTATCCTGTAACATGTAGAAAAATGTGCTCTTTACTTAAGAAAAAAAAACTATTTTTTTATTTTTCAAAATATTTGGAGCGCCACGTGAGTGAACGTAGATCTATGTTTGGACAGTTTAAGGGTTAATAATTTTAGAATATATCTCTGAAATTGTTTAATACAATTGCTGGTACAATAATATTCTTTAAATAGTGGTTTACTGTGAACCTAAATAAAAGTGAAAGTGTATCATCCAGTGAATATAAATGATACTGAGTATGAACCCCACTGTCCTACAGAATAGATAATTGTAAAATATCCTACAAATAGAAATGTGATGTACTGTACCTCGATTGTTGCCACAGTCAACCTTGAGAAATGCAGACCAATTTTTGCCAGGTGAAGGGGCATCCCTTAGCATCTTCACTGCCAACTCTGAGTCAATTATCACATGAAACTTCTCCAATTGCCTAAGATGTACAGAATTGAATAGAAGCTGCATGTAAATATCAGTCCTTATTAACATCATTATGACAAATGCACATGAAGAGGAGGTAGTAAAGTGCTACAACCACTCCAAGCTTTAACCCTTTGAGGGTCCGTACCGTAGATCTACGGCTTTACGTTCAGGGTCCAAACCATAGATCTACGTCATGAGCTCAGCTCACTCTGATAAACTGTGAGTGGTACATTTAGGCCTAGATATGAGAGAATACATCTATGTGGTATGTGTGCACCACATAAAACAGATCATGCAGCACGCTGTGTATGAGAGAAAAAAACTGAAATCATGATTTTTTGATTAAAACAGCGACTTTGCAGTGTCTTTTCGTATGTTTTTTATATTTCTATTTGTGATTTCTTGGTCTCATTTGATAGAATGGAAGACATATTACAGAAATATAGATGATTTTGATTGGTTTTCGCACTGGAAATGGCTTGAAACTAAGCTCAAAGTAGCAGAAATGTTAAATTTTTGCCGATATTCAAGAGTAAACAAACGACCTCACACGTCTAATACATGCCAGCTGGTGGGTCTAATATGCATTCACAAATATGGTGATGATATTTATACAATTATTACAGTATTGCATAACAGTAAATCTTCTATTTTTTGGTGTGAATAAAAATTCAATATGTGAAAAAAAATCAAAATGGAATTTATTTGTAAAGATCGAAACGAAAACTAATGAACAGAGGAAATGTTAGTTTGTTCCAGGAATACCACATTGTTTATTCTGGACCCTATTTTGAAATTGGAATATTTTGAACTTTGTGTTAAATTGGCCAAATTAACAATTTCCGATCACTTTAATTTGTAGTTGAAACAGTTGACTTGGCGATTTCTTGTGCTCATCGATAGAATAGAAGAATACTAGTGAAATAGTTTAAGAATATGGTTGACTGGAACAATGTAATTGGCCTAAAATGGGAGTCAAAGTCGGCAAAATCGCCGATTCGTAAATATCGCTGACACATCAAAATTCGCGAGAGCATAATTTCGTCAATTTTCCATCAAATTTCATAATTTTTGTTTTATTACCTTCACAAAAAGATTCTATACCATTTCATAAGAAAAAATAACAAATTTTTTTTTGAAAATTCTTGGACACTGGGGCACCACTTCAGATTTGGGCCTTGGACCCTGAAGGGGTTAAACCTTGCAATAGAACAAATATTGAATAAAGGACATCACAAGTTTAGGTCTTCTCCTATAACTATAAATAGGTACCTAATTAAAAACAAGTAATCTCTCTCACTCTCTCACACACACACACACTCTCTCTCTCTCTTTATCAGTTTCCCCTTACTTCCTTACCACACAGTAAAGATTTGAAGACTGTTGCAACCATATAAAATAGGTCCCTACAATAATACAATATAGTACTGCATTTCTAAGCAAATATCCTAACCTGATTCAAAGTATTAACCCTTAAACAGTCCAAACGTATATACGTATACCTTCACTCGCTCAGCGCCGTGAATATTTTGAAAAAAAAAAAATTACATAGAAAAAAAGAACACATTTTTTTAAGTGCTTTAGAATAAAAAAAATAGGGTCAGTACTTACAGAGATACAGGCAGAGAAGTTGGCACTGGATGCTCATGTGATGGCAACATGGAGTCCTGCCGCTTGCAGAAGTGTTGTCGATATACCTGTTTTTTTTTCTATTTGTCATATTATTTTATATAATTTTTATGTTCTGATAATTACAATTTATAGTAGTTCTTGTCATTTCATAGTATTAGGTATTCAAATTGTCACAAACACAGGAGGAGGAGGAGAAGGAGGAGGAGGAAGAGGAGGAGCAGGAGGAGGAGGAGGGGAGGGAGGGGAGGAGGAGCAGGAGGAGGAAGAATAGGAGGAGGAGGAGGAGGAGGAGGGGGAGGAGGAGGAGGAGGAGGAAGAGGAGCAGGAGCAGGGAGGAGGAGCAGGAGGAGGAGGAGGAGGAAGGAAGAGGAGGAAAAGGAGGAGGAAGAGGAGGAAGAGGAGGAGGAAGAGGAGGAGGAGGAGGAAGGAGGAGAGGAGAGGGGAGGAGGGGAAGAGGAGGAGGAGGAGGAAGGGGGAGGAGGAGGAAGAGGAGGAGGAAGGAGGAAGAGGAGGAGGAGGGAGGAGGAAGAGGAGGAGAAGAGGGAAAAGGAGGAGGAGGAAGAGGAGGAAAGGAGGAAGAAGAGGAGGAGGAGGAGGAAGAGGAGGAAGAGGAAGGCAGGCGGGGACGGGGGGGGGAAAAAGGGGGGGGGGGGGGGGGGGGGGGGGGGGAAAAGGGAGGGAAGAGGGAAGGGCGGGAGAGGGGGAGGAGGAGAGGGGAGGAAGAGGAGGAGGAGGAGGAGGTGAGGGGGGGAAGAGGAGGAGGAGAAAAGGGGAGGAGGAAGAGGGGGGAGGAGGAAGAGGAGGAGAGGAAGAGGAAGAGGGGAGGGGAAGGGAAGAGGAGGAGGGGAGGGAGAGGAGGGAGGAAGGGGGGGAGGAGGAAAAGGAGAGGAGGGAAGGAGGGGAGGAAAGGAGGAGGAGGAAAGGGGAGGAGGGGAAAGAGGAGTAGGGAAAGGAGGAGGAGGAAAGGGGAGGAGGAAAAGGAAGGAGCGGGGGAAAGGAGGAGGAGGAAAGGGGAGAGGAAAGAGGAAAGGGGAAAGGAGGAGGAGGAAGGAAGAGGGGGGAGAAAGGAAGAGGAGGAGGAGGAAGGAGGGGAGGGGAAAGGAGGAGGAGGAGGAAAAGAGGAGGAGGAGGAGGAGAGGAGGACGAGAGGAAAGGAGGAGGAGGAAAGGAGGAGGAGGAAAGGGAGGAGGAAAGGAGGAGGAGGAAAGGAGGAGGAAAGGAGGAGGGGAGGAGGAGGGAGGAGGAGGAAGGAGGAGGAGGAAAGGAGGAGGAGGAAAGGGGAAAGGAGGAGGAGGAGGAGGAGGAATGAGGAGGGAAGGAGGGGGAGGAGAGGAAGGAGGAGGAGAGGAGGAAAGGAGGAGGAGGAGGGGGGGGGGGGGGGGGGAAAGGAGGGAGGGAGGGGAGGAGAGGAATGAGGAGGAGGAGGATGAAGGAGGAGAGAAGGAGGAGGAGGGGAGGAGGAACGAGGGAGGCAGGAGGAGGAAAGGAGGAGGAGAAAGGGGAGGAGGAAAGGAGGAGGGAAAGGGGAGGGGAGGAAAGGAGGAGGAGGGGAGGAAAAGGGGGGAGGAGGGAAAGGGGAGGAGGAGGAAAGGAGGCGGAGAAGGGGGGAGGAAAGGAGGAGGGGGAAAGGAGGAGGAGGAGGAAAGAAGAGGAGGAGGAAGGAGGAAAGAGGAGGAAGGGGTGGAGAGGAAAGGAGGAGGAGGAAAGGAGGAGAGGAGGAAAGGAGAGAAGGAGGAAAGGGGAGAAGGAGGAAGGAGGGAGGAAGAGAAGGAGGAAAAGGAAAGGGTGGGGAGAGGAGGAGGAGAGAGGGAAGAAGAAAAAGAAAAAGAAGAAAAAAGAAAAAAGAGAAAAAGAAAAAAGAAGAAAAGAAGAGAAGAAAAAGAAGAAAAAAGAAGAAAAAGAAGAAGAAGAGGAAGAAAAAAAAGGGAAGAGGAAGAAGGGAAGAAGAAGAAAAGAAGAGAAAAAAAAAGAAGAAAAAGAAAAAGAAGAAGAGGAGGAGGGGAGGAGGAGGAGGGAAAAGGAGGAAAATAATAATAATAAAAATATAGTAATAATAATAATAGTAATAAAAATTAAAGTAATAATAATATACGAATAATAATAATGGTAATAAAATAATAGTAATAAAAATAATACCAATAATAATTTTCCTTAAAGCATGAAAAACAAAGTCCACCCCTGACAGTGACTGATGAATAACTCTGATTAGAGCTGATTTAAAATGAGCATAAAAGAGGGTGGGAGGGATGCAGCTGATAAGAAAAGTTGATGACCTCCCCCTTTCTTTGTTTTTTTTGGACACAAAAATTTTTGTCTCTCTATTTTCTGTCTGTCAAGCTCCCCTTATCCGTCTAGCTCTCGTCTCAAAGAGAGCACAAGATGCATCATCACATTTACCACATCTTAAACAGGTATAGCCTTTGTCTGGATTTTGGGTTTTCCTAGGTAATTTTAACTATACTTGTTATTTATGTGTACTTTGAGCGATATAGACAAAAATTGAAAGAGATAGACAGAGACAGATGACAAAAACCAGAGAAGACAAACAGAGACAGAGCAGATAGAGACAGAAGAAAAAAATAGAGACAGAGGGAAGATATAGAGGGCGACAGATAGACAGAGCAGATGAAGAGAAGATAACAGAGACAGATAGATAGGACAGAGAAAGGAAAAATCGTCAGACCCTAAAATTGGGGTTAACATGGGCTTTCCCCTTAAAAAGGAATGTTAAAATGCTTAATAAGTGAATCCTTGGTTTTTGCCGCGTGTTTGCTCTAGCTGGCGCTCCCCCAAGGTACTAAGTGGTCCCCAAATTTTTTTTTAAAATGCGCACACCAGGTTAAAGGGCCCGTTCTATGTGACCCGGCATTCAGGCCAATCGCCAAAAATTTTGGGGACAGAAAAATTATTTATTATTTTATTATCACACTGGCCCATTCCCCCCAAGGCAGGGTGGCCCGAAAAAGAAAAACTTTCACCATCATTCACTCCATCCACTGTCTTCCAGAAGGGTGCTTTACACTACAGTTTTTAAACTGCACATTAACACCCCTCCTTCAGAGTGCAGGCACTGTACTTCCCATCTCCAGGACTCAAGTCCGGCCTGCCAGTTTCCCTGAACCCTTCATAAATGTTACTTTGCTCACACTCCAACAGCACGTCAAGTATTAAAAACCATTTGTCTCCATTCACTCCTATCAAACACGCTCACGCATGCCTGCTGGAAGTCCAAGCCCCTCGCACACAAAACCTCCTTTACCCCCTCCTCCAACCTTTCATAGGCCGACCCCTACCCCGCCTTCCTTCCACTACAGACTGATACACTCTTGAAGTCACTCTGTTTCGCTCCATTCTCTCTACATGTCCGAACCACCTCAACAAAACCCTTCCTCAGCCCTCTGGACAACAGTTTTGGTAATCCCGCACCTCCTCCTAACTTCTAAACTACGAATTCTCTGCATTATATTCACACCACACATTGCCCTCAGACATGACATCTCCACTGCCTCCAGCCTTCTCCTCGCTGCTACATTCATCACCCATACTTCACACCCATATAAGAGCGTTGGTAAAACTATACTCTCATACATCCCCTCTTTGCCTCCAAGGACAAAGTTCTTTGTCTCCACAGACTCCTAAGTGCACCACTCACCTTTTTCCCCTCATCAATTCTATGATTCACCTCATCTTTCATAGACCATCCGCTGACATGTCCACTCCCAAATGTCTGAATACATTCACCTCCTCCATACTCTCTCCTCCAATCTGATATCCAATCTTTCATCACCTAATCTTTTTGTTATCCTCATAACCTTACTCTTTCTGTATTCACTTTTAATTTTCTTCTTTTGCACACCCTACCAAATTCATCCACCAATCTCTGCAAACTTCTCTTCAGAATCTCCCAAGAGCACAGTGTCATCAGCAAAGAGCACTGTGACAACTCCCACTTTATGTGATTCTTTATCTTTTAACTCCACGCCTCTTGCCAAGACCCTCGCATTTACTTCTCTTACAACCCCATCTATAAATATATTAAACAACCATGGTGACATCACACATCCTTGTCTAAGGCCTACTTTTACTGGGAAATAATTTCCCTCTTTCCTACATACTCTAACTTGAGCCTCACTATCCTCGTAAAAACTCTTCACTGCTTTCAGTAACCTACCTCCTACACCATACACCTGCAACATCTGCCACATTGCCCCCCTATCCACCCTGTCATATGCCTTTTCCAAATCCATAAATGCCACAAAGACCTCTTTAGCCTTATCTAATATCTGTTCACTTATATGTTTCACTGTAAAACACTGGTCCACACACCCCCTACCTTTCCTAAAGCCTCCTTGTTCATCTGCTATCCTATTCTCCCCTCTTACTTTTAATTCTTTCAATAATAACTCTACCATACACTTTAACAGGGATACTCAACAGACTTATCCCCCTATAATTTTTGCACTCTCTTTTGTCCCTTTGCCTTTATACAAAGGAACTATGCATGCTCTCTGTCAATCCCTAGGTACCTTACCTTCTTCCATACATTTATTAAATAATTGCACCAACCACTCCAAAACTATATCCCCACCTGCTTTTAACATTTCTATCTTTATCCATCAATCCCGGCTGCCTTACCCCCTTTCATTTTACCTACTGCCTCACGAACTTCCCCCACCCCTCACAACTGGCTCTTCCTCACTCCTACAAGATGTTATTCCTCCTTGCCCTATACACGAAATCACAGCTTCCCTATCTTCATCAACATTTAACAATTCCTCAAAATATTCCCTCCATCTTCCCAATACCTCTAACTCTCCATTTAATAGCTCTCTTCTCCATTTTTAACTGACATAATCCATTTGTTTCTCTAGGCTTCCTTAACTTGTTAATCTCACTCCAAAACTTTTTCTTATTTTCACAAAATTGTTGAAACATCTCACCACTCTCTCATTTGCTCTCTTTTTACATTGCTTCACCACTCTCTTAACCTCTCTCTTTTTCTCCATATACTCTTCCCTCCTTGCATCACTTCTACTTTGTAAAAACTTCTCATATGCTAACTTTTTCTCCCTTACTACTCTCTTTACATCATCATTCCACCAATCACTCCTCTTTCCTCCCACACCCACTTTCCTGTAACCATAAACTTCTGCTGAACACTCTAACACTACATTTTTAAACCTACCCCATACCTCTTCGACCCCATTGCCTATGCTCTCATTAGCCCATCTATCCTCCAATAGCTGTTTATATCTTACCCTAACTGCCTCCTCTTTTAGTTTATAAACCTTCACCTCTCTCTTCCCTGATGCTTCTATTCTCTTTGTATCCCATTTACCTTTTACTCTCAGTGTAGCTACAACTAGAAAGTGATCTGATATATCTGTGGCCCCTCTATTAACATGTATATCCTGAAGTCTACTCATCAGTCTTTTATCTACCAATACATAATCCAACAAACTACTGTCATTTCGCCCTACATCATATCTTGTATACTTTTTTTATCTCTTTTTCTTAAATTATGTATTACCTATAACTAAACCCCTTTCTATACAAAGTTCAATCAAAGGGCTCCCATTATCATTTACACCTGGCACTCCAAACTTACCTACCACACCCTCTCTAAAAGTTTCTCCTACTTTAGCATTCAGGTCCCCTACCACAATTACTCTCTCACTTGGTTCAAAGGCTCCTATACATTCACTTAACATCTCCCAAAATCTCTCTCTCTCCTCTGCATTCCTCTCTTCTTCAGGTGCATACACGCTAATTAAAACATATATATACGTTTGAGGCGCTACACAACAACGCATATATAGTATATATTACGTTTGGACCGTTAAGGGGTTAAGAGTTTCAAAATGCAAGTTGCAAAACCTACATGAAGAAGCAGAAGGTAAAATAAATGTTAGACTGACTTTGTAAGTGCAGTGACACGAGGCATATGGTGTGGAATGAGTGGAAAGCCATAAAGAATATCATCAAAGCCATGTCTTGCATAGAACTCTGCTTCCTCCAGTGTTGAGGTGACTAAGCCACATTTCTTGCCACCTGTTTGCAGCAGGGCACACTCACTAATCCCATTAATAAAAAGTACAAAAACATCATTAATAATCAACAAAATTATGTAAAAAAAATTTTATTTTAACATTGTTCAATAAACTTGTAAAAAAATGTACATAGTTCAATGCCACTGTAATTTGCTTAGCTAACAAATACTGGGGCCTCAGTCCATGAACTCATATATGTGTATTATGTGCGTCTGTAATCAATTTTTTGTTTCTACTGCCCACAGGATAGATCCAGGTTGCATAATAAAACAATCAAGCTACACTATAAGTAAACATGCTATAGGCATATAGTATGTTTACTTATAATTACCAGGAAATAAAGTGATGCTCTTCATTTTAATAGATAAGTCACTCAAGCAAATATTAAAAGACAATAAAGAAACTTGTTCAAAGTCTGTACATCTTTTTCAGAATATGTTTAATCTCAAGAACTACAAAATGAATTAAGATAAGGTTCAGTAAATTACATACAGTACAAAATTCCACCAGACTAAATTTTAATACGGAAATGTAACTTGACTGTGATCTTCAGATTTATAAATGTGCAGACAAAGGCACATCAGAAGGTAAGACTGATGGATGACAATTAAAGGAAATTTCATCCAATATTATTATTATTATAATCAAGGGGGAAGCGCTAAACCCACAGGATTATACAGCACCTGTGGAGGGGAGATGGAAGGTATTCAGGCTTAATTCAGGGAACTGGAGCGCAGATCCAATTCCTTAGATGAAGAGCCCCTCACCAGCATCAAGGAACCTTCCTTGAGGGGATTTCATCCAATAGAAGTTTAGCTTGCCAAGTCCTTCACAGCAAAGATACCTAGATGCTGATGAGGGGCTCTTAATTCAAGGAACTGAACCTACCTTCCTCTTCCTTAAAACAAACCTGATAATCTCCTATTCCTCAGGCGCTACATGACCTAGACAGATTTAGTGCTTCTGTAATAATAAACAACCTACAAACCTGTGTGTTTTACTTGCATAATTCAGTAACAGGTTACCACTTATCGAATTTAGTAAATGGAAATTGATACTGGTTTATGTTGGCAAATTTTGAGCTAAATACTACCCAAACTAAGTACAATACTGTATATCATATTAAACTTAGCAGTATAAAGGCAATGTTAAGTAATGAGAAGAAATATGATACACTTACATGGTCTTATGGGTCTTGGTCTGTGGCCTGAGAGACACACCCATGGACTTGCAAGTGGCTAACATTTGAGCACAGTTGGCTTTAACCTTCATTAGGTCCACCAGCAGTGCAGGTGTGGTCAGTTTATGTACTTGCTGACCCACTTTTGATTCTTCAGCCATTTGCCTGAGTAAATTCAAATTAATGGTAATCAATGTAGAATGCCTAAGAATACAGTTCCAAGAAAAAATGGTCATTATCATTAGTGAATAAACCATTATTTAACCCTTTGACTGTTTTGGTCATATATATATATCTTATGAGCCACCGTTTTTGACGTAGTATACATACTCATAAATTCTAGCGGCTTCAAATCAAGCAGAAGAAAGCTGGTAGGCCCACATATGAGAGAATGGGTCTGTGTGGTCAGTGTGCACCATATAAAAAAAATCCTGCAGCATGCAGTGCATAATGAAAAAGAAAAAACTCCGACTGTTTTTTTTTAATTAAAATGCTGACTTTGTGGTCTACTTTCGTATAGTATTTATGGTTGTATTCTCGTTTTCTTGGTCTCATTTGATAGAATGGAAAAGATATTATAGAAATAGTGGTGATTTTGATTGGTTTTACTATGAAAAGAACCTTGAAATGGAGCTCAAAATAGGGGAAATGTTTGATTTCTGCCGATGTTTAAGAGTAAACAAATGATGTCACTTTCCAATAAATGTCCAAGTAGCCATTCTAATATGCAGCCATGAATGGGTTGACATTATTTATACAATTACGTATTACAATATTGCAGTAATCTGCATAACAGTAAATCTTCTATTTTTTGTTTGAATAAAAATTCAAAATAGAAAGCAAGAGTAATATCAGAGGGGCTGGAGACGTGACTGATGAACAAATAAAATGTTATTTTAGAGCCAGGAATGTCTGCATTGTTCATTCTGGACCCTAGTTGAAATTGTTATATTTTTTAATTTTTGTGAAATTGGCCAAATTGCAAATTTCTGACCAAGTTGTTGGGTAGTTGAAATCGGTAAATGGGCAGTTTCTTGTACTCAATCGATAGAAAAAAAAGGGGTTCTAAAGAAATAGCTATGAGTTTGGTCGACTGGGACAATGGAATTAGCCGAAAATAGGGGTCAAAGTGGGCGAAATTGGAGATTCATAAATATCGCCGAGGTCGCTAACTTCGCGAGAGCGTAATTCCGCCAGTTTTCCATCAAATTTCACTCTTCTGGTGTCATTATAATCGGGAAAATATTCTCCATCATTTCATGAGAAATTTTTTTTTTTTTTTTGGAAAATTTGCGACAGTCAAGGGGTTAAATAAAAGAATATATGCATATATCTTAATCACATTATACTGTATTGTAATAAATATTAGTTTGTTCTCAGCAAATGGAGAATACAGAGTGCAGAACTATCTCTGTTTTGTTTTTTCTGGCTAAGATAAATGTAGCAATACAAATACAATATGTACTGTACTCCATTGCATCATACTTTATATTTCAACGTTGCATGCTGAGTGAGTTTCAAACCCAGTGCATGCATTCGGTTTGAAAGAACAAAGCATTTCAAAAATACACAACAATTCATTATATAATTCAAAATAGTACTTTACTGCATAGTTCAATACTATATTTTACAAACAATTATTTGACATTTTTGTAAGTCATTATTGTAACACTGTTTCTTGCACATAGTACTGTGTGTCAGATTCAACACTAGAGAGATATCTCTTGAATCAAATCTCATTAGCCAAAAATTCAATAAATTAGACTTGTAAAATTATCAAATTTAGACATAGCACTTTTTGGTAAAACCCATACATGTTACACACAGTGTTCTGGGCAGGTAAATTAAGAACACCAAATAGTGCAATATTGTACTTAACATTGATAAGCCTTAGTTTTTATAACTATGGTATAACTCACACCTTTTATGCCATGGTATTTTAATGACTATTCTCAAGTTACTACGTACTATATTAAAAATACCTGATTACATTAGCTTATACAAAATAAAATGCAGTATTGAATACAAAACCCATATCCAGTATTGGATGTGATTATAAAATATTCCATACTACACAATTTAAAAATGATTATGAAAACCTGAAATGCTTCTATCTTAAAATTGTGAGAAAACAATGAGTGCATTTGAAATTCTGCAGAGTGAGAGATTACTTGTAATGCTTTTCTCAAATTTAGGTGATGACGGAGTACAAGATAGAGTGGAACCTCGGTTTGCGTATGCCCCAGTTCTCGTAGGATTCAGTTTTCTACATTCTCATTGAAATTTTGTCCCAGTTTTCGTACATCCGCTCAGTCTTCGTAGAGTTGAAAATGGTCCGTACCAAATGCGTCACACATGACTCAGCCACTCAAGTGCCCACACAAAGCATCCCATGCATTCATGACTCAGTCTGCCTTTGTTTTTCATTGAGCATCACCTCACGACGTTCATCCGAAACATTTCATAATAATCCATTGTTTTTTGTGCTTGTTTATTGAGTGCAACTGCTAAATAAGCTACCATGGGGACAAAGAAAGTTCCGAGTGCCAGCCCTTTGATAAAGAAGGCGAGAAACATGATAGAATTCAGGAAAGAACTCGTAGCAAAGTATGAAAGTGGCGTACGCGTGGCCGATCTCACCAGGATGTGCAGGAAGTCCGCATCAACAATCAGTTCCATCCTGGCGAAGAAAAACGAAATCAAGGAAGCTGATGTTGTGAAAGGGGTAAATGTGCTAACAAAACAGAGATCACAAACAATCGAAGATGTTAAGAAGTTGTTGTTAGTGTGGATCAATGAAAAACAGTTAGCAGAAGGTAGTGTTTTGGAGGCGATAATTTGCGAAAAGGCAAGGCAGTTACATGTAGATCTCTCAAAGAAAATGCCTGGAATGAGTGCTGCTGTTAGTGAATTTAAAGCCAGCAGAGGCTGGTTTGATAAATTCAAGAAGCAAACTGGCATACACATTGTGGTAAGGCATGGCGAGGCTGCAAGTTTGGACAAACGTGGGGCCAAAGAATTCGTTGATGAATTCAAGCAGTACGTAGAGGTTGAAGGATTCCTCCCCAACAAGTGTTCAATTGTGACGAAACAGGCCTCATTTGGAAGAAAATGCCAAAGAACACCTACATCACGCAGGAGGAAAAGGCACTGCCAGGACACAACCCTATGAAAGATAGGCTAACTCTTTTGTTCCGTGGTAACGCTAGTGGGGATTTCAACGTGAAGCCTTTACTCGTATGATCACTATGAAAATCCCAGAGTGTTCAAGAAAAACAATGTCATCAAGAGTAAATTGTGTGTGATGTGGAAGGCTAACAATAAGGCATGGATCAAGAGTCAAATTTTCATTGAGTGCATCAATGAAGTGTTTGGCCCAAGTGTGAAGAAATACCTCCTGGAAAATCAATTGCCACTCAATTGCCTCTGTAATGGACAATGCTCCTGCTCATCCTCCAGACTTGGAAGGACCAATTGTTGGAGGAGTTTAGTTTCTCACAGTGAAGTTCTTGTCCCTAACCCCACTGTCTCATCCAGCCCATGGACCAGCAGGTCATTTCTAACTTCAAAAAACTCTACACCAAAGCACTGTTTCAAAGGTACTTTGAAGTGACCTCGGACACTGAATTGACCCTAAGAGAGTTCTGGAGGAATCACTTCAATATCCTCAAATGCATAAGCCTTAGAGATAAGGCTTGGCAGGGAGTGACTTCCAGGAAGATGAACTCTGCTTGGAGAAAATTGTGGCCAGAATGTTTTTTGAAGGATTTGAGACTGACCCTGACGACCCTACGCTTATTGGGGAATCTATTGTGTCTTTGGGGGAAGTCCCTGGGGTTGGATGTGAGTGGCCAGGATGTGGAAGAGTTGGTGGACAACCACAGTGAAGTGAGCTGCAAAGTTTTGTGGAGAAACGTCACCCTAACAAAGTTGTTGCAAGTCGTGTCTGCAACATTTTAGACAAATCTTAAAGAGATGCCAGAAACAGGCCTCTCTGAACAGATTTTTTTGTGCAACAGGGGTACAGTGACTTTCAAGCTGGTCCTAGTGCCAGTAAAAGACAAAGAAGGGAAGTAACCCTGGATAGACCTTGATACCTGAAGTCCATATGGAAGGAGATTCCCCTTCCAAACAATAACCTCTCCTCCCTCTCAGCCCTCACCGTCTTCCATATGCTAACAAGAGTCTTCAATAAAGGTAAAGTGATGCTAAATGTTCATTTACCCATTTCATTAGTCATTTATATTTCTCATTATTTTCTGTATGTAAAACTATAATTATTCTCTATAAAATGTAAATTTTGTTAATATTTTTGGGTGTCTGGATTTACACTATTTCTTATGTGAAATATTGCTTTAGTTTTTGTACAATTTGGATTTTGTCAGATTTTTTTAGAACAGATTAATCACAAAAACCGAGGTTCCACTGTAATGGGAAAGATGATGAAATCAGTAACTGCAGATGCAATCTGAAGCCACCTTGAAATATATAATCTGATCAGTAAATCTCAGCAAGGTTTTAAATAAGGGAGGTTCTTGCCTTGTAAATTTACAGTGGAACTTCGGCTTACAAATTTAATCCATTCCGTGGACTTGTTCGTATCCTGATTTGTTCGTATGCTGGGTCAATTTTCCCCATTTAAATTAATTGAAATGCAATTAATTCGTTCCAGCTGAATTCCTGCTCTCAGGAGGCATGAAAAAAATAACCCTAATATCAACTCTACTGCTTATTGAATCTGTCACAATTCATCTAATATGACATAATAAACAATATAAATAAGATAGAAACCTGATATACACTCTAGAATGAATAAAATGTCATGTGGACAGCAGAGGGTGGAGGATTGTGGTCGAACATTCTAGCTATGAAAACGTCAGAGGTGTTATAAGAGAAAACGGAGTTTGTGAGGCTAACTGAATTAGATCTGGTGTACATACGACATTTACATATCTTGGAAAAGAAATGCAGAGCAGCACATCCTGTCAGGAGTTTACACTTTTCTTAAGGACTGCCTCGTACAATTTTTATGTTTATCTCTCTACACTACATATCTCCTGTGAGCTGTTTCTCCATCAACCATGTCAACAGTACTTACCCTCTTTTAATTGCAAAAGGTCGGGTGCTTAGAAATTACTGTAATGCCTTTGCTGGTGCTATAGCCT